AGGATCAAGTAATGTTAGGGATTTGAGAAGTTTCACACGTACGAATAGTGAGGATTGGCGAGGCGATAGACAGATATCCTAAATTAGTGCCAACGCCAGATATCGTTGGTTGCAAACACAATAAGAACATTCCGATCCTAGAGGTTAAAAATAGGTGATCATATTTTATGATGGTGTCATGAATGAAAGTATAATAAAGATACTTGAGAAATAAACATTACCATAACTATTCACAAACCAAATTTAAGACGAGCTTAAAGTTTAAAAAGTGATCAGCGACAAAAAGTCAAACAAAAGATCGCAAAATTAATCACCGTTATTTCACCAAAATAATTTGGATGCCTGCTCCACGACCACAGTCCAGTTTTCATAAACTGCTTCGGGGATGTACGATTCTGGCGGAAGATGAACTGGATAGACAAATTTCAAGAATCAAATCACGAACACAATTGAAAAAATATTCTTTCAAAAGGAAAAGTCAAATAACCATACCTTTTGAATGTCGGCAACACTCTCGATCATCAATCCAAACACAAACAGTACTATCCCTGCGATATCAGTGGCACTACCGAAATGCACATCCCGACCACCAGAGCTTGGATCACTTATTCTAGGTGAATTTAAAAGGATCAAAGGTAAACTAATAGTCCACACCCAGATCATTTGTATTACGAAGAATCCAAGTAAAGACGTGAATTTCGATCGAATGCTATCAAATCGTGTATCCCTATTGGATTTTAGCATTCGGTACATGCAGAATACTGTTTTTTGCAACAAGGAGGGAATGGAGGATTAACGGAAAAAAAAAGAGAAAAACAAACACGTGAACAAATAAGGGTAATTTAAGGTAAACTCACTCACATCCTAATCTAATACCCCATATTATTTGAAATATTGTTGCAATTATTTGAGGGACTTTGTCCGATCGAAAGTCTGGGGAACCATGATTAGAATTCTGTGTTATAAAAAATCAATTTAAAAAAATTTTTTTTTTAACCCTGGAAAGTTATTTCGATTAACTTTGATAGGTAAAATTGATTACGAAAATTACCGCAATCATATACTCACAACGAAAAAGTGCCACCGAAGCTAGAAATCTCCTTGGAACCGGTCGGAACCGATTAACATCTCTAGATCTCAGCCATTTTTAAACGTCTCCGTGTTACTGTACGTTTAAAAAATCATCGGCAAATCTACTAGTTGTGATCTTTCTTTATACAGTATTAGTTTTTACCGACACCAACATAAATAAATATAATAAAAATATATAAAGAATAATATATATATA